GTTAGCTACTCAGAAAGGTATGTTAAGGTCTTCCACTATGATGGTGGATTTGTCAGTTTCTCCTTATAACCTGTCACTTTTTGCTTTACACATTTGAGACAATGTTATTAAATGCTTATGAGTTAAAAATCGTTTTAATTTTCCTGGTGAATTGAACCTTTTATCAATATTTGGTGACACTTTTTATTTCTATGTTTTGGCTTAGAGTCCATTCTTACATCAGCATAACTATATCAGCATTTTTTAAAGCATTTATCTGGTATACCTTTTTCCATTTCCGTATGTATAACATTGGAAATTTAGTTCATTTGTAAAGATTGTAATTACTAATATATTTGGATTAATTTCTACCATTTTATTTTGTACTTTTTCTCTTCTGCTCTTTTTTTGAAATCTTTTTTTAACTGTCAAAATTATATATAACATAAGATTGATATGTTAACCATTTTTAAACATACAGTGGCATTAATTATGTTAGCAATGTATTGCACCCATCACCACTATATAATTCCCAAACTCATAAGCCCAAACAGAAACTCTGTACCTATTTAGCAATTACTCATTCTTATCCCTTACCCACAGCCCCTAGGAACTTCTAATATATTTTCTATTTCTATGCATTTGCCTTTTCTAGATATTTCATGTAGGTGGAATCATACAATATATGGCCTTTCGTGTCTAGCTTCTTTCACTTAGCATCATGTTTTCAGAGTTCATTCATGTTGTGGCATTTATCAGAACTTCATTCCTTTTTATGGCTGATATTCCATTGAATTATGTATGTACCATATTTTGTTTATCCATTAATCTATTGATGGGCACTTGGGTTATTTCCGCCTTTGACTATTATGAATATTGACATATAAGTATCTTTAAGTTTCTCTATACCAAGTGTGGAATTGCTGAGTAATATGGTAATTCTATGTTTATCTTTCTGAGGAACCACCAAACTGGTTTCCACAGCAGCTGCACCATTTTATATTCCTACCAGCAAAGCACAAGGTTCGAGTTTGCAAACATCTTTGTCAACACTTGTTGTTTTCTGGGAGGTTTTTGGTTGTTGTTTTGTTCTTATAATAGCCATCCTAATGGGTGTGAAGTGATATCTTATTGTAGTTTTGATTTTCAGTTTCCTAATGACAGTTGAACAAGCTTACTGACCATTTGCATATCTTTGGAGAAATATCCATTCAAGTTCTTGCTCCTTTTTTAATTGGTTTGGGCTTTTTTGTTGAGTTATAGGAGTTCTTTATGTAGTCTGGATATGAAACCCTTATCAGATATATGATTTGCATATAATTTTACAGTACTGTGGGTTATGTTTACACTTCCTTCATAATTTATATTTTTTTAATTTTCTTTTTCTAAATCCTCATCCGAGGATATGTTTATTGATATTAGAGAGAGAGGAAGGGGCCACCTGGTATGAGCTACAAAGTGATCTGCAGATGGTTGTCTCTTGTCCTGAGCTTAGAGATGCCTGGGAGAGGCTGCGAACCAAGGACGGCTGCCACTAGTTCTGGGCCTCAGGCCGCTTAGCAAGAGGTACAGGGCATGCCGAGGCCGGATGCTGCTTGTTTGGTGTTTGTGAACCTTTGAGAAATTTTAGAAAAGTCTGCAGCATGAGCCAAGACAGGTCGTTTGTATGGAAAAGCCACTAGAAGCGGCTTGGGTAGGTCCATAAGTAGGGTAGGTTGGGTCTCAGGGAACCACCAGGGCAGGGGTGCTAGGCTGAGGGACACTCAGATACCAGCTTGTGCCTGCAGGGGGTGGACTCCACAAAGGAACAGTGGCTTCTGCCGGCACTTCTGACTGAGAGAAAGCTGCCCCTCCAGCCCTTGCCCTGAAGCCATACTATTCAGTTCCTCTCCATATGTCCCTGGCAACTTTCTAGCTGCTGCCCCAGTGCTGGAGCTCAGAGCCAGTGAGTCTGTCAGCAAGGAGGTCTGTATGCAGGCCCTTTTAAGAGGAACTGCCTGGGACTCCAGGAGCCCTTTGTCTTACTCAGCCACAATTGCCACTGGTTTTCACAGTCAGAAGTCATGGGGACTTCTCTTCCCAGCTATGGAACCCTGGACCAGTGTGGGGCTGGGACTCCTCACTTCTCAGGGGGGACCTCTGCAGCTGAGATATTCCTCCCAATTTTTTTTTTTTAAAATATATCTTTATTGATTTCAGAGAAAGGAAAGGAGAGGGAAAGAGAGAGATAGAAACATCAATGATGAGAGTCATTGATCAGCTAGCCTGCAACCCGGGCATGTGCCCTGACCGGGAATTGAACCCTGATTGCCTGGATCCTTGGTCGACACTCAACCGCTGAGCCACTCCCGGCTGGGCCCTCCCAATTTTTAACCTCCACATGCGGGTGTGGGGCCCATTCAGCATCTCTGCCCCTCCTACCAGACCCGCTGTGGCTTCAAGTAGTTCTAAATGATGGTTGTTCTATAGTTTAGTTGTAATTTTGAAGTGGTCATGGGAGGAGGCAAGTACAGCGTTTCCTACTCTGCCTCTTGAACGGAAGCCTCCACACTCATTCTTGAATAATAGTTTCTCTGGGTATAGCATTCTAAGTTAATACATTTCTTTCAGTACCATATTCAATTTTCATCCATTGTTGTAGTCAAGAAGTTTGCTGTTTAATTAATTCCTATGGCAGTTATCTTTCCTCTCCCTTTGGCTGCTTTTTAAAAGTTTGTCTTCCCCAGCCGGGCTTGGCTCAGCAGTTGTGCATCGACCTAGGATCCAGGAGATTGTGGTTCAATTCCTGGTCAGGGCACATGCCAGGGTTGCAGGCTCCATCCCCAGTCCGGGGCGGCAGGAGGCAGCCAATTAATGACTCTCTCATCATTGATGTTTCTATCTCTCCCTCTCCCTTCCTCTCTGAAATCAATGAAGATATATTTTTAAATAAATAAATAAAAGTTTGTCTTTGGTTTTACTGTAAATAAGTGTAGATTTGCTTGGGATTCATTTGACTTCCTGACTCTGAGGCCTGGTGTCAGCCATTTCTGGAAAATTCTAAATCATAATCTCTTTGAATATTTTTCTTCTATTCTCTCTATTCTCTTCTTTTAGAATGTTGATAGAGTCTCCCTCTCTCTTCTATGCCTCTTTATCACTTTCTTTTTGATAGCTTTTTTTAAATACATTTAACAACTTTATTTCTTAAAAAATAAGGTACCCAAGTGCAGTTTTATGGTTAGGAATTCTCAGGGGAGACTTTTCTGTTTATTCCCATTCTACTTTAGACCAAGCCTGGCATGGGTTCCTACTACCTACAGCAGGGGTGGTGGGGGTACTCATTTTATTCCTAGCAGCTTAGCTAGCTACTCACTTAAAAAGATGTTTTGTTGATCAAGCAGTTTAAGTGTTTTGCGTTTCTATTTACCTTGGCCTTCCTAGTTTTCAGCAGGGTTTATTCATGTGCTGCTTTAGCCCTTGTTTCTGAGATGACCTGATTTTTTCTTGCTTGTACTTAGCTCAAGTTTTATCTCCTTCCATTGTCTTGCATCTGTTTCGAGCACTTCCATTTGGGCTTTGAACTACTGTTTTCCTGTATTCACAGCTAAATGTCACACTTTTCATCTGTTCCCTGGCAACAATTTTCTGGTGAATGTTCATTTGTCATTTGTTGTTCCTGTAATACCTCTGTTTACCTCTAGTGTTGGTTCCTTTTCAATTACTAATTTCCTAGTGAGCTCTTGTCATTAGATCATAGATCGTTGATCATTGTGGGAGGGGCCAGGACTGTGCCCCTTGTCTTCTCCCCAGGCACTAGAGGGCTGCTTACTAAGCAAAGCCCCTCCCCCACCCTTTGTGCTCAACCGGTTCAGGAAAGCCCTGCTACAGTCCACACCCCCTTTTCTTTCAAATAAGAGATTATTGCCTCTCTCCTCTAGGTGTGCTACTTTGGAGAACTCAAAACTGTCACCTTTTCTGAGACCTTCAACCCCAAGACCCGCTGTGTGGTTATCACTGCCCTTCACATGGCAGCCACCCTCACACAGTGCTCCAGGTTCTGTCAGAGACAATTTGCATTTCCATTTCTTGTTTACTCTGTTTTACTTTTCAGGGATTTCTGAGGGGAATGGGAGGTAGTATTGCTTTATGCCACCACTTTAAAACTGAAGTCACCCTGAAAGATCAACTGATATTCCTGGTTAAATGCTGCATGGCTAACTCTTCTGTTGGAGTCTGTTTGCTTATATCTCATTTAAGACTTTTACATTTATGTTCATAATAAAAGTGATCTATTCTTGGGATGTCCTGTCTGCTGTCAGGGCTCCTGAAATTAGTTGTGTCATTTTCTACCATTATTTACTCTTTGGAAGATTATCTGTTCCTTGAAAGTGTAAAACTTCACAGGCCTGGCTCCTTTTTCTGGGAAGATGTTTAACTTCCGCTTCACTTTTTAAAAACAATTGTTGATCTAATCAAATTTTCTATTTCTTCTTGAGTCTGTCATAGTAATTTACATTTTTCTGGAAAAAGTTTCCATCTAAACTCTTTTCAAATTTATTGCCATAAAATGTCCTTAGAAACTAGGGGATGGGAGTTCAATTTATATTTTATTTTTTATCCTTACCCGAGGATATTTTTTCCATTGCTTTTCAGGGAGAGTGGAAGGGGGAGAGAGAGAGAGAGAGAGGAGAGACATAGAGAGACACATCGATTGGTTGCCTCCCACATGCGCCCCGACTGGGGCCAGGGATCGTGCCTGCAACTGAGGTATGTGACCTTGGCCAGAATCGAACCCAGGACCCTTTAGTCCTTGGGCCAAGGCTCTAACTACTGAACCAAACCAGCCAGGCTTGTTTGCATTTTTCACAATGAGAATGGATTAATATATAAAATGAAGACCAACTGCCATCATCAAATAATGACTTACCGGTATCCTAAGGTGGGGTGAGGAGCTGGAAGCCATGACCCTGACTGACCCTGTCTTCCACCCAACAAACCTGTGCTCTGCTCAGTTCACTATTCTACCTTCTCTTTCTCAGTCTTAGGAAAAGTCCTCAGTGCTGTGGGCAGTGCCCAGCTACTGATGTCCCAGAAATTCCAGCAGTTCCGGGGCCTCTGTGAGCAAAACTTGGTGAGTGTGAGTGATTCTTCCTCCACGACAGGGCTTCTAGCCTTTGGCTGCCTGCCAGATCGCCCAGCTGGATTAGCCTCTCTATGCCTCTGTGACCTCCTCCTAGCATTAGAAAAGTGATGACAATGTGTGTCAGTACCTAGCACGAGAAAGGGACCAGGAATGGTCCTTTCAGATCGCTAATACCTTTTGAAATAGAAAAATGATGTAAAAATAGCCAATGAAAGTTAAAGATGAGTAAACACCGATTTATTTATATAATACACATTCTATATCTAAGAAGTCAATCAAGGTAAGAAATTTAAAAATACCACCACTAGGCTTGATAAGTTTCCCTCTCCCTCACCCCTTCCTGCTGGGAGCATGGAAGCCTCACTCCCACTAGCCAGGGGGGCTGTACTCCTAGGGTGGGGAACAGTGGCAGAGTGTTTATCTCTGGGACCTGTAGGGGTTTGGCTTGGGCAGTCATGATGAGGAACATGTTGACAGAGAACAAAGTGATGGGAGGGAAACCCCATGAGATTCTGTAATCATACCCACATGGGAGAGATCCTGACTTCTCCTCACCTCACTAGGAGACCATGGCCAGGAACTTCTGTTTCCTCCCTATAAAATGAGAGCAGTTGGCCTGGCATGCATTAGGGGCATGAGGCCTTCCTTACTGCAGCCCTACAGTGGTAGCAAAGGCCTCAGTCCTCCCCATGTATGTGCAGGGCCTACTCTTGTGATGGGACTATCTCTTTCTCCCAAAGATCTCCACCATCAGGGTTCGCAGTGACCAGGTTTAGCTTCATGTGCTCATGCAGATACTAACCCTAGGAATAGAGGAGCAAGACTAGGCCAGGCCCTAAGGGACCCTGACCATGGCCGGCAGGATCAGGAGACCATGGCTGGGGTGCAGGATGAGCCTCTCTGCCTTGCTGCCCCACTGATTCCGCTCTGCCCCGCAGAACCCTGACGCCAACCCACGTCCAACAGCCCAGGACCTGGCAGGTTTCTGGGACCTGCTACAGCTGTCCATAGAGGACATCAGCATGAAGTTTGATGAACTCTACCATCTCAAGGCCAACAGCTGGCAGCTGGTGGAGACGCCCGAGAAGAGGAAGGTGAGCATGGAGCAGTGCGGAGGGGAAGTCCAGGGACAAATTCCTGGTCGGCAATAACGCTGCCCACATCGGTCAGTGCTGCTTGGCTCCCTTCTCCGTGTGTCGTCTTTGAGCTGGGGGCTCACGTCCATCTGTGCGCGGGGTCCATGCTCAGCACTTATCCAGCACGCTGCTCGCTCTGTGTAGTTGAGGCGGCCCCCTGAAGCATGCCATCCTGCCCTGCATGTTCAGAAAATGGGGCTCCTGGGAAACATGCCCACGGCCTTGAGCACTAGTGTAGATATGGCTGTTTGAACTCTAGAGGCAGAAAAGGGGTCCTTCTCCTCGGGCCATACAGGAGTATACGGGGGCAGCTTCTTCCCTGAGGCCCATATTTCCTTCTGTAAAAGAACAGCACCCACTGACCCCTATGGTGATTGGTTACTGGACTATGGGCCTTGCAGCCTTGAATTTAAATCCCATCTCTGTCTTTGTGACTCAGGTTCATTCCTGAATCTCAAGCCCCCAATAGTTCAAAGCAGAGGTGGAAACAGGTCACCTGTCTGTCCCTTCCTGCTGGAACATTCTAGGATTCTTAGCTTGCTTTTTGCTCCTATGCGTGTGCTATTCCCACTATCATCGCTTCTCGTGGCTTCCTAATTCCAAATGTGTGCTGCTTGTGCCCAATGCGGGAGGCTGGGGTAGAGACTACAGCTGCCAGCATATAGGGGTGGTAGAGCCACACCAAAGGTGGCACCTTTATTTTATTTCTCTTCCCTCCTCACTGTCTCACTAAAGGAAGAAAAGAAACCACCCCCTCCAGTCCCAAAGAAGCCAGCCAAATCCAAGCCAGCGGTGAGCCGCGACAAGGCCTCAGACGCCGGGGACAAGCAGCGTCAGGAGGCCCGCAAGAGACTCCTGGCGGCCAAGCGGGCAGCTTCCGTGAGGCAGAACTCAGCCACAGAGAGTGCGGACAGCATCGAGATTTATGTCCCCGAGGCCCAGACCCGGCTCTGAGACCAGGAAGCAGGAAGCAAACAATTTTAAGTCATTTTTAAAAACCACACAAACTAAATGCAAATGGAACGGAAATTTTCTCAACCTTTAATATGGTTGTTCTATCTAGAGACCCTGAGCCAACTTTCAAATTGACGCATACAAGGGCTCACAATTTGGCTTTTTTGGGTCCCTCCCAGCTTTAGGTTTATGAAGACTTCACACACAAAAAAGTCAACAAAACCACAAAACTATAAAACTTTTTTTTTCCTCTTGCTGGCCATGGTGGACTAGATAGATGAACTTCGGCAACTCCCCGGCCCAGCCTCCAGACTGCAGTCTTTATACTTGTTCTGTCTAATGAGAACTTAAACTAGCGTGTTTACAAGACAAGGACAGTCCAAGGGCAGCCTTGGGCACCTGCCATGTCCTTCCTTCTTTTCCCAGCTACCCCTGCTCTGACCTCGGAGTTTTCATTCTTACGTTTCTCTTTTCCCTTCAGAGCTCACACAGGGGTCACTACCCCGGCTGGCAGCTTTCTAGTTCTCAGACCTTTTTGTGGCGGAGAGCCGAGAGGACAGAGAGATGGACATGCGTTCCCTCCCCCGCTAAGTGCTCACACACAGTCACACACGTGCACACACACAGATGTAGGTTCCTCCCAGCAGAAGCAGCGCTCACCCTGTTATCTGCCAGGGTCGGGCTGGTGATGTGCCTCCCTGAGAAGATGAGGCGGGTTTAAGTCTTTGGGGGGAAATGAGATAAAAGCTATAGTATCACACTCCAGGCTCCCACCTTTTTCGTCTCTCCAGCCCTTCTTTCAGCAAAACGTGTGACTCAGAGTGACTCACAAGGGTCACTCAAGAGAGGGACCCCCCCATTTGTCTGTCCCTGGCCGAGCCTGTGTACAGTACCCGAAGGGCTGGCAGCTGTGTCTGTAGTATGTGTACATATGCACATAGACCTTAGAGTGTATATTTAACAAACGCCCATCTGCTCACCCATGCCCACTAGTGCCACCGCTGGCTCTTGGGGCACCTGGCAGGAGGCAGGTGTGTGAATAGCATATATTTTTACATGTACTATATCTAGGTGTGTGTACAAGTGTGTGTAAAAATATATACCTTGTGTGTAAGCAGCCCTTTTTTTTTTTTTGGCCTCCCACCTTCCTAGCCTCTGAGTTTTCTGTTCTATTTTTTTACCCCAACCACCTTTCTCTCTCCCCCTGCCCCCTAGCTCCTCTCCCAGGGTGTCATGAGCCCTGAGCTGCAGTGGCCCAGGCCTGCAAGCGGGGTGGGGAGGGCAGGGGGAGGGGGAGGCTCAGCCTGCAGCAAGCTCAGTGCACAAAGGCTGCTCTCTACTTGGTGTAGACTACAGCACCAGAGACATCCTTATGTCTGGTACTTGCTGCAGGGGCCCCAGGTGAACCGAGGGCCTGCTCTGGGGCCCCATTCCAGCTTGGCCACCGTCTGTGACCTTGGGCAAGTCACTTGACCTCTGTGTGCCTCAACTTCCTCCTCTGTAAAATGGGGACAGTCCCTGCCCCTCCCTACCTCACAGGCATGTTGTGAGAATAAATGAGGTAACGTGTACCAAGGGCTCATGGTGTTACTGTGGTGGGTGGGCCAGGCTGGGAGAAGGCAGGGGGAGTGAGCTCCCCAGGAGACTAAGCCAGACCCCCTTCCAAAGGGCAGCACCATAGAGATAGGCAGACTTTCCACAGGCCATGATTCCAGATCTGTCACTCACCAGCTCCATGATCCTGGGCAAGAAAACTAAGTTCTCGGTTTCCTTACCTGGAAAATGTGTACAGCATCTTACTGGCTTCCTCTGAGAAATAATGCATAATAGCTGCTGTATGGGAGCCAAGGTGGGCTGCCCTCACAACACACACCCCCGTTTCCACAGACCCAACTCTGCACATGCCTCGGCTGGGGTACTGGGTCCTTCCTCTACTCTGACAGCATGGTGTCCTGTGGAAGCTGTGCCGCACTACTGAATCTGGCCCAGGCAGGGGCCTTCTGGTCAGCCTGAAGGACAGAGGGCATTAACCAGCTTTGCACATGGGGATTCTATGCAGAAGGAACAGTAGGTTCCAATGCCCTGTGGTAAGAACATGCCTTTTAGAAAGTCCTTGGGCCAGGCTAGGCTGCAGACACCTGGTCTCCCAGTGTCTCAGGCCCAAGGGAAACAGAGAACCACTTTCCCAGGAGCTCTGTTCAGGCTGCCACCCCCTCCCCAGTGGGGCCTCTCAGAGCTCACCCCAATCCTGTGGGCCAGACTCCCTGTGCTTGGGCAGCATGCTCTCATCTCTGGAGCCCCTTAGTGGCTCTGAGCAGTGACCATGGGTGGCACTGATGGACTTCTGGGACGAGCCTTCCTGGGCCTACACCTGTCCTGAGATCTTGCGGGGGGTGACTTAACAGGTAAGTGAAGAGGTTTCTGGTTGCCTTGGGCACAGCCAGACAGAGGTGCGAGTGAATGCAGGAGACAGCCAGGCTGGATTTAAGGGCCACCCTCTGGCTAGCAGTGCAGGCCTGTGAGACTGAGGTGGACTGTTATCCCTTCCAAGCCTGAGTGTTTCTGCTGCAACGGGAGGGGCCATGAAGGTTTGGTCAGGGTCTCAGGGAAGGACCCTAAACTCCCTGTATCTGCACAGCAGGGAGGGAAAGCGTGTGATGTATGGAATCTGGGCCCTCTCCACCTGGCACAGTGTGAGGAAGCCCCTGCCCTGAGTTGAAAGAAGAGTATAATGAACACCACACCATGTCCTTCACCCAGAATCACCAGTTGTCAGCATTTTGCGGGATTTGCATTATCCCTCTTAGGTACACAGTTTTCTCAGAGCCATTTGAGTGTACCCTGCACACACCACGCTCCACCCACGCAACTCCTAAGAATAAGGACATCCCACTGCAAGACCACAATTCCACTATCACCCTCTAATTAAACAAGTGATTCCTGAGCACCCCTACCCAGGAGCACACCCCAGGCCCTGCATGAACACCAGCTAGAGCACAGCCGCACACCCTGCACCCGTTAGGTCCTCTATGGCTTTCCCTTTGTATCCATCCAGGGCCCCATTAAGGACCAGTTGCTGCTTTCAGTTATCATGTCTCCTTAGTCTCATTGAATCAAAAACAGGTTCCCCACTTTTTGGTTTGTTTTTCGTGACACATTTTTTAGGTGTCCAAGCATCTTGTCGAATGTTGCATAATTTGGATTTAGGTTTTCCGACGACTAGATTCAGACTGAACAATTTGAATAAGAATAGGACTTAGATGATGTCCCATCTCCTATACTCTGTTCTGTCAGGGAGGCACTTGTCACCTCAGGGAAAGGCTGACAGCAGCCTCTCAGAGGAGCTGGGAATGAGTCCTTGGCTTTTGTGTTTCCAAACCCAGTCCTTGAGGGAAGGGAAAGGGCCAGGACAGAGAGAAAGGAAGCACCCTCCTGAGAGCCACAGAGTGCTGGGAGTAAGCAGAGGGAGCAGGAGACTGAGCACTGCCCCTGGGTCCCTGAGGACACCCACAGGGCTGTGGGATGGGCAGCAGGAGGGCCCAGGTTCCCTTTCTTGACCCCCTGCTCCCCTAGGGTTGTGGTCCCCAAGCCTTGCAGAGTCCCCATGGATTATAGACCTAATTTTTTTTTTAATATGTCTTTATTGATTTCAGAGAGAGGAAGGGAGAGGGAAAGAAACATCAATAATGAGAGTCATTCATCAGCTGCCTCCTGTACGCCCCCACTGGGGATGGAGCCCACAACCCCGGCATATACCCTGAGCAGGAATCAAACCACCATCTCCTGGATCCTAGGTCGATGTTCAACCACTAAGCCACACCCAGCCGGGTGGTATAAATCTTCATTGGATGAGGCAATGGTTTCTCTATATGATACCAAAAGCATAAGAAGCCAAAGAAAAACTTCATCAAAGTTAAAAACTTCTTCTTGAAACTATCAAGAAAATGAAACAACCACAGAATGGGAGAAAATACTTGCAAATCATATATCTGGAAAAGGTGTAATAGCTAGAATATACAAAGTACCTTTGCAAGCCAACAACAAAAAATAAATTTTAAAATGGGCAAAACATCTGAATTACCATTTCTTCAAAGAAAAATAAATGTAAAGTAAGCACGTGAAAAGATGCTTAACAATAGTTATTAGGGAAATACCTATCAAAACAACAAAGAGAAAACACTTCACACCCATTAGGCTATTAAAAAATTAAGAAGAAAAAATAAGTGTTAGCAAGAATGTGGAGAAACTGGAAGCTTTGTGCACTGTTGGTGGGACTGTAAAATGGTAGAGTTTGGGCTAGGGTTAGGATTAGGGTAGGGTTAGGGGTAGGATTAGACCTAGGGTTAGGGTTAGGGTTAGTGTTAAGATTAGTGTTACAGTTAAGGTTAGGATTGCACCTAGGGTTAGGGTTATGTTTAGGGTTAGGGTTTGAGTTAGTGTTAGCGATAGGTTAGGTTTAGACAAAGACTTAGGATTAGTGTTAATATTAGGGTTACGATTAGGGTTAGGGTTGTGGTTAGGTTTAGTGTTAGGGTTAGGATTAGACTAGAGTTAGGGTTAGGGTTAGGTTTACGGTCAGGATTAGTCCAAGGGTTAGGGTTAGGGTTCTGGTTACTGTTAGAGTTACAGTTACGACTAAGGTTAGGGTTAGGATTAGACCTAGGGTTAGTGTTAGGCTTTGGGTTAGGTTTAGTATTCGACCTAAGATTAGAGTTAGGGTTACGATTAGGGTTAGAGTTACGATTAGCGTTATGGTTACGGTTAAACTTATGTTTAGGGTCAGGGTTAGGTTAGGGTTAGGGTTGGGGTTAGGATTAGGCCTAGGAATAGGATTAGTTTTACGGTTAAGGACAGGGTAAGGATTAGGGTTAGAATTAGGAGGTTAGGGTTAGGATTTGGGTTAGGATTAGGTCTAGGATTAGGGTGAGGGTTAGGGTTAGGATTTGGGTTGGGGTTAACCCTAGGTTTAGGGTTAGGGTTAGGGTTAGGGTTAGGGTTAGACCTAGGGTTAGTGTTATGTTCAGGGCTAGGGTTAGAGACATGGTTAGGGTTAGGATTAGACCTAGGATTAGGGTTATGTTGAGGGCTAGGGTTAGAGAGATTATTAGGGTTAGGATTAGACCTAGGGTTAGGGTTATGTTGAAGGCTAGGGTTAGAGAGATGGGTAGGGTTAGGATTAGACCTAGGGTTAGGGTTATGTGGAGGGCTAGGGTTGGAGAGATGGTTAGGGGAAGGATTAGACCTAGGGTTAGGGTTATGTTGAGGACTAGGGTTAGAGAGATGGTTAGGGTTAGGGTTAGGTTGAGGATTAAGGTTAGAGAGATGGTTAGGGTTAGGATTAGACCTAGGTTTTGGGTTATGTGGAGGGCTAGATTTAGAGATATGCTTAGGGTTAGGATTAGACCTAGGGTTAGTGTTATATGGAGGGCTAGGATTAGAGAGATGGTTAGGGTAAGGATTAGACCTAGGGTTAGGGTTATGTTGAGGGCTAGGGTTAGAGAGATGGTTAGGGTTAGGATTAGACCTAGTGTTAGGGTTACGTTGAAGGCTGGGGTTAGAGAGATGGTTAGGGTTAGGATTAGACCTGGGGTTAGTGTTATATGGAGGGCTAGGATTAGAAAGATGGTTAGGGTAAGGATTAGACCTAGGGTTAGGGTTATGTTGAGGGCTAGGATTTGAGAGATGGTTAGGGTTAGATTAGACCTAGGGTTAAGGTTATATGGAGGGCTAGGGTTGGAGAGATGGTTAGGGTAAGGATTAGACCTAGGGTTAGGGTTATGTTGAGGGCTAGGGTTAGAGAGATGGTTAGGGTTAAGATTAGACCTAGGGTTAGGGTTATGTGAAGGGCTAGGTTTAGAGAGATACTTAGGGTTAGAATTAAACCTAAGGTTAGTGTTATGTGGAGGGCTCTGGTTGGAGAGATGGTTAGGGTAAGGATTAGACCTAGCGTTAGGATTATGTTGAGGGCTAGGATTAGAGAGATGGTTAGGGTTAGGATTAGACCTAGGGTTAAGGTTATATGGCAGGCTAGGGTTGGAGAGATGGTTTCGGTAAGGATTAGACCTAGGGTTAGTGATATGTTGAGGGCAATGTTAGAGAATGGTTAGGGTTAGGATTAGACCTAGGGTGCAGTAACTTACTCATCACGTCTTAATAACTAAGTAATAAAGGCTGTGTCCTTCCTCTCTGGTCCCCCGACTGGCTCTTTCGGACTAGTGAAGAACAGCATGGTGCTCCCGGGGTTGTAGCCCTTAGGCCACATGAAGGAAAACCCAGTTGGGGGGCCCTGGCTTCCAGTCCCAACATCCATGAAGAATGCTGCTTGGTTCAAGAGCACTGTTCCCCCCACACTCAGCTGACCATCATAAGCACTCACGCCGATGTAATGAGCTCTTACAATTCATTCAGCAAAGAGAGTCCCCTGCAGTGTGAATTGGGTCACATCTTGTGACTGAGAAATTTCTCTTTGCTGAATGGACCCCTGAGAAATCCTCCCCAAAGAGGCATATAGGAACGCGTTTATTTTATTTTTATTTTTCTGAATTTGAATCCTGAGTTTTTACAAAATAGA